ACGAGCGAGGCTCTTTCAATGTTGACGCTGACAAAGTAATCGGCGAGCAACAAGTGCGCTGAGGACGTTGACAATCCTTTTCGGATAGATCTAGTGAAATGAGTAAGTAATGAGACCTAAGCAGAAGAAGAGAGGAGAGACTAACCGGTCACCCATATGCGCGGCGTGCAATTGCGAAGTGCCTTGACTAACTCATTGGCCTCCCAGATCTCTCGAGCGTCTACGAGAAGTAGGACGCCCGCCCGACTGTCGACCGAGGACGGTTCAGGCGCAGGTACAGGAATAACAGGGGCAATGGGCATATCGATTGAGACGACGCTGCTGCGCTTGCGACGACGGGGGATATTGGCATGAGTCGGTCCCAGCTCGCCCTTGGGTTGGATGTTGGGGAACGCGGGGCTGAATGAGAGCCAGAGGGTGAACCCACGGCGTTCCCGGAAGGTGAGAGGGGTAGAGGACGTCGACGAGGACGGAGTGATAGATGAGGGGAGGTCAAATGCGGTGGGGACAGACATGATACTGGATGATGGTGAGACGAAGCAACAAGCAGAGAGGGAGAAGCTCACAATTTGTTACGAGGGTGTTTGCAGATGGTGGTGAGAAGGTAAGAGCAGTTTGTGTGACGAGAGCGTAACCCACTGTCGATTTTATACAAGAAGAAAAAGGGACTGAGACATTTACTTCCGCGTATGGAACTCCTTTTTGGGTGAGACAGAATATTTGACGCCGCGGAACGAAAACCAGTCGGAGAGGCAGCTGCGGCGTAGGAGCGCAGGGAACAGAATGCATGTACATATCTCAGGCCGAACGGAGCATATTTGGGTATATTCAGCAATTCTACCCAGCTCCGTGTATTTTCGCTCGCATTCACTCAGTTCCCACTTGTTGGACCTGATATTTTGAGAGAATGTTTTCGTGAGGTATTCAGAGGGCCCCATACATTTACCTGACCTATTAGAACCAGTGGTCAGAGCGGTAGCATGTGTACACAACATCCCACTCGAATCACCCCATAGTTTAAGCGACCACTGTTTCCGATGGCTCAGGCAACTATGTGGGGCCCTCAGCACACCCTACAAGAGTATTTTATAAAAATACCAGCCCAAACAAGTGAGAACTGAGCCTACATGAGCAAAAATACATTGGGAGGGCCAGATTTGCCAAATTAGGGCAAGTGTGATCCAATCATTACCAAATTTGGACCGGGCCCTGCGCCTAGATGAGCATGTCAAGAAAATACCACTTGTTAGGTGATACATTGAAAATTGAGCTCAGAATCATTCAAATACAATAATATGACAGTAAAACATCCAAGAAGCTTAGGCTTGCGCTACGGCATGGTTTCCCAGGCCGGGCTTCAGCACACCATGAATGTCGCAAGGTCCAAACGCCCAAGCATCGCTATGGAGGTAGAACAAGGTGTATTTGGCCATCCAGAGAACCGGCGCCGGTATAGGGGGAAAGCTATGGCATCGTCAGACAAGAATGAACAGATAGCCAGACAGATACTCACTAGGGTGCGCTTGATTTGTCGTGGCATACAAGCGCGAGTGGCATCGTAGGAAGCGATGTGTCCTTCATCATGCGCTTGCTGAATTGGGCGGCGAGATCTTTGAGGTCTTGCTCGGTGAAGACTGCTCGCATCTTGCTGGATTCGAGTGTAGGAATTTCCTAGTAATTTGGTACAATTTCAAGGCGATTCGTGGGCGAAAGGGAGCAACTCCCCTCGTGCAAGTGCTCAACCAGCTGTTCCGCGAAGCTGTCCAGCTTTTCGAGGATTGTAGAACCGTCGTACACAGCTGTCCCTGCCTGAACGGCCTTCAGATACGCCTCGAGGTCGTCCAAGCCGCCCATGAAGGCATGATGTTGCTCGACGTTGTGAGCCATGGCGTTTTCTCCCATCTTCGCTTCGAGGAATGGAAATACCAGCGATTCTTCCATGTGATGGTGGTGGTGCAGCGTTTCGAGCTAGATTGGAGGTTGAGGGAAATGACCAGCTAGCGCAGAATCGCAGAACACGCACGACACAGATGCAGAAGAAGACAAAAGGCTTGATTTGCTTGTCCTGGATACCTTTGGCTTGCGCGTAGATTGCGTTCACGCCACGGATGAACATGTTGTGAGCAACGGACATTTGTCTATTGGAGTTACTAGTTAGCCTGTCGCGTAGCTGTTCGAAAGCACAAACGTACATGGCTTGGTTGTCGAAGACATTTTTCCAGTCGCCTGGAGGTCGAGCTGGAAGGCAGGTTTAGTATAACGCCGACTCGGATAAGAAGCAATGGGCCTTGCATACCGACAAGAGGGAATGGGTAGGGCATGGCGATGGTGGGAGAGGCCTGGAGGCATCAAGGAGGTGCGATGACACTCATATAAGTAGTCGAGGCGGAGTGACCAAACGCTGCGGGCTGCGTGCGGCTGCGCTTCGCGGTGATGCGCCATGAACGGGTGGCCGCTTTGCAACAAGTGTGGCACGTCACGCGTCACGACTTGAACCAACGCAACTTGAAGTCCAACGACGACCATTCATTTGCAAAGAGACCTAGTAGACCCACATAGTCCTCTAGATCTGGCTTCTACGCGTGTCTGAGTTTCTTTGTTTCTCAGTACTCTTCACGCGTCCTCTGGACTCCTTCGACTTGCTCCAACAAGATAGATCGCTGGGTGGCTTAGGAAGGAAGCCCATTCCTCGCCTGCGCGGACTCAGGGCAGAGCTTCTAGGGACCTCTGCGAACGCATGCAACACTCTTCTGATGACTTGGGCTGCGTCGGATTAATACTCGGATTCGTTTTGCCCGTCGTCGCTCGAAATCAGGCCAGTGCCTGCTCGACTGGGATCTCAATTCAAGCTGCGAAAATACTTTAATAACGTATGTAACGACGTTAACGTTCCTTCAGGTCCAAGGGCGTGATTATCGCGGTCACCTGATACAATGACGCGCCGCAATTAGAGACACATTGTTTGGGACAAGTTCGAGCGAGGGCTAGGACCGATCCTCGGCACCTCATCGTGCCCGAAAAGACTCTCAATCTGGCCAAGTCTGGCCCTCCCGTGAGGCGGAGATCCTCCGAGCCCACCGAGCTTCTCCGGCCCCATCTAATTATATCGTTCTTCGAATGTTCGGAGTATTTGATTCCCCACCCAACTTTTACGTGGCTTCGCAAGCTGCTCCTGGCTTCCTGGCTTGCACTGAGCATAGCAGCTCGTTCGCCACGTCTATCCAAACCAGCAAGTTCATCGTCACGGTTAAAAGGCCTCTCCCGAGTCAGCGTCGCGTCATCATCGCCTTCAACTACGCCGCCGACGCCGCTATCGAACGAACAAAGATTATTCAGAGGATGCTTCCTTTGATGGATATGTATCATGTCCCTCTCAGTCGTCCAAAACCCAGAAACAGCGCCTGGAGAGCACTTGCAATCCAATGGCTCGAGTCCCAGAGTCCGAGTCACTTTCGGTGCTCTAGCAACGGTACGCCGCCCCCGGCGCCCCGACAGCGGTACGCCGTGACAATCAAATGGAATTTGATTCGTCCCTCGTGTCGATCGTTGTTAGCCGATCCAAACGCATCAGCATGCGAAATGGCCATGCTGCTTAGCGCTTAAAACAGCGCTCTGTTCCTCTAACCACCACCACCCATGCCCTATCCATTTGCTCCCATCCGTATGTACCGCAGCTCTGTTGTGGTCAACTGGCTAATAGCTCTGCAAAGCTCGAGCTCCAGGCGAGTGGAGCGACGTGTTCGACAAACAGGCCATGTATGTCGACCTGCAGTCTTTGTAACCTCCACTCAACCCTCTCAGCGAGATGTCGATCTCGCACAACATGTTCATTCGCGGTCTCAACTGCATATACTTCCAAGCGCCGGGCATTACTGAGGCTCAAGTCAAGCCCTTTGTCTTCTTCTGCATCAACTTTGTATGTTTCCTCCTCTCTGTGTGTTTCCCTTCAGGCTCATGATTCCGAAAAGTTCGGCATGCTGCACCACCACCACCACATCGAGGAGACACTGATATTCCCGTTCTTCGATAGCAAGATGGGCAACAATGCGATGGGACATAATGTGGAGCAGCACCAAGCATTCTTGGGCGGCTTGGGACGACCTCGAGACGTACCTCAAGGAAGTTCAAGCTGGTACCGACACATATAACTCCGCGACTGTCATCAGCAAGCTCGATAGCTTCGCCGACCTACTCGTTGAGCATCTTCGGGATGTACGCGCGCCAACTTCCCTCGTGCTCCTCTTTGCTCACGCGGTATAGGAAATCCCTACTCTCGAATCCAGCATCATGCGGAAATTCTTCACCCATAAGGAACTGCATGATCTCGAGGCCCAACTGGAGAAGCGCATCTTGGCAGAGGTTTCACTCATCACGACGCTCCCTCTCGGACTCATCTGCCACGACAAGTCGACGGCGCCCTTGTAAGTTGACTCTCAGCGCTCATTCTTGGTCTCATAGTCCTGCTGTAGCTTCCCTCCCCTTCCGAAACCCATTCTGTGGGCGGTCAAGTACGGCCTGTACAGACTGCACAGCGACGCCTGGGCCTTTGGCCCTTGTGATGTCAACGGCGTTCTCAAGCCTGGTCTCGGTAACGATGGCCCCTTCCCCGACGCCTAGACACATTTTAGACTTGTTGTTGTGATGTACCGATAGCATCCAATTTCCTTTCCCTGTCTTTTTTTTGTTTTGAGTGCGCCGCAAGTGAGGATCTGCGCATTTCAATCAATTATGAAATGAATGAATGGATCGTCGTCGCTGACTTGAATTGCCTGTTTGACGTCGCCAATCCAACGCTGCTGTCCGAGACTCCGTGGTAAGCTGCCGTCTGGCTCTATGTAGGCGCTTTCTAGATGGTAAATATATTGCGCTTCCACACCCGCGAGCGCTAATAGGCGCTGCCATTAGTGGTTATGCTTTGCAAAGTGAAGCAAGATAACTTGAAGATAAGATAAGATAAGGTGCTCCAGGGACAGATAGCTACAGGGACAGATGTGTACAAGTCTCGACTAGTATATCGGTTAGTACACGCGCCTGTCATAAAAAAGGCTAAGACCTGTGCGCGCGAAAGCTGGGTTCGACTCCCAGGTCGAGAGTCTTTTTCTTTTGGTCCTTCTTTGTCTTGTTCTTTTTCTCTGAAAAATCGGCCCCACTCATTAATCCACTCAATCCTCGTTCTGCGCACAGTTCGCCCTGTTCTTTTCACTCTCGTCTTCCCAACCATCACCGCCAATTTGATTTTCAAACTCCGCAGATCGACGGTATAAAAGCCAATTCAGGCCCTTATCGCTCTTTGTCCTAAACCACCACCACCACCAGCGAATTTCGAATATGAGCGACAAATCCTCCTCTTCAGGCTCTTCTCCCGCCAATGCCAACGGCACCAGCTATACCATCACCAGCACCGGGACCAACTCTAATGTGCGTCTCGTCGTCGCGTCGGCATGGTACTTATTGCTTATTGACCTCTCGCAGGGCAACCACTACTGCCATCGCGAGTCGAGCCAGGGCGGGGGGTATCACTACTCCAACTCGTAAGTCGTCGTCTTTGTCCTTTGTCCTTTGTCTGTCTCTGACTCGGAGGGCGCCTCGCAGCAACGGCAGCTACTACTACAGCAACCCGAATGGGTCGACGTACTACAATAGCGGCAAGGGGTCGTCGACCTACACAACCCCGGGAGGGTACAAGGTGAACAAGTAGATGCTGGTGAGTTCATACTAAGTAATGTGGGTGGGAGGGAGAAGCTAAGAGCGCACTGGCAGAACACAGTTTTTCCGAAGCGAATTACAGTACTGTGAAGAAATCGTTGTACGATACAAATTTGTTTGTCATTGAAGATATGAATTGAAGTTGTGCTATGAAATATGTGCCTGGCCAGAGTCAACTACAACTAAGCTCACTCTTCTCATCAGTGTCTTCCGACTGTAATCCAGAAGCTTCGAGTTCGGAATAATGGGCTTCTAGCAGTGCCCACGCGCGAGCCCTCGTGTACTTCGCGAATCGCGAATCGTGCAAGGATGCGTAAAACCTGGAACCGAACCGAAGAAAGGCATCGAGGCGATGATCATGACTTGCACGATTCTTCGAGCTCGCGACTCTAGCACGCTATCTACTCACCCGACTCGGAGCACACCTCGCAGCAAGTAAAAGAACAAAAAATGCAACCGTGTGAATGAGAATGATATGGATCCCAAGATTTCGTTTCTGCGATATTCCATTCCAGGCCGTAAAGTACAGTCACAGTACGCCTCAAGGTCGACGGAAGGATCTTGGTTTTGCGGGCCCGTGCCCGATTTAATTGTGCAAGAAGGCGTAGTAGAGGACAGAGAAGACGCGTTGACTGTCAATGAGAAGCTAGAAGCCAACCGTGTGAACAAAAGGCAGGGCTTGAGGCGCGTCGCGACTCAACTCGTGGGTATGGTGCGCGCGTCGAGACTCGAGACCGTGACTGCGGGCATGGAAGGACCTCGGAGCAGTTGCATGTCATGATCATGTCGCCTGGCATGGTTCCTGGAAGCGTTCATGATCATGGTACAGGATCTGCGTATAGACGGGTGGCCGGTGGATCAGAGGGAGGCGGAGACGTCGAGATTGGTGGACACGGGCGGGCGAGGCGTCCCACTCAGTTGAGTGGGTGTATACAATTCTATTGTTCCCGCTGTCGTTCGGGGATTCAGCCTGAGAGCCTCGAGGAGAGTTCCGAATCGAGGGAAACAATGGCGAGTTTTTTTGATACGTTGAGTCGTGGTTCGGGGATCCGATGGCGAGAACGAGAACGAGATGTTGGTGAGTGAGAGTAACAATGGGTTGAATTTACATGTCCGCGGGAGGTCGTAGATTGAATGTATGTCCACAGATGGGAAGAATTTGAAGTCAGCGCCGCTAAGCTTGAAGGGAAAGGGCAGCCTGAGGCTCAGCAGCTAGATTCTTGCCATGGCTGAATGTCGGTACGGTCAGAGATCGCGTGGTGAGAATGCGAAGGAAGTATCGTCACATAAGTGACCCATCGGTCCCATCCTGACCTTGAACCACCGCGACGCTTTTGACTCTGTTGCCTGTCGTCAAGATCTCAAGCTGCTGCCCATCTCTTCGCTGAAACTCCTCGGAAGTGCAACTCAGGATTCTCACTCGGAACCTGGTATACAGCCCGCAATGATCCCGAATGGCATCATCGACAGCAACGATGCATCTCCTCCATATCGTGCCACAATTCCGCCTGGGGGTTCTGAAGACGCCGCCGAATCCTCAGGATGCCCAACAACTCGTCGAGCGTGCGCGTAATGGACGGCGTTTGGGGACGACGGGACCGCGGGATGAGTGAGAGTCTCACAGTCTGTCGGCTGCCGGCATTTTTTTTCTTCTTCTGCGAACGGAAGTATTGTGTCCGTAGAGCGTATAGGTTACCTTGGGAGAAGTAGCTGTGTTTGGACTGAAAATTGTATCGGGCAATGCCTTTAGTCACAGATCCAAGATCAGATTTTTAGCCCACGACTCTCTCGCTAACGCGGTCATCCCGTCGTTCGATGGCCTCTGCGCGCTACTCGGCCGCTGCGACTCAAGCACCAGGAGCAGCTTCGTCTTCCCTCGCTCAAGGACCTCAACTTCCCCGTACCGCTCCCGCCCCGCCGATGCCCCCAGTGCATCAGGCCAGGAGCTGCCCTCGACGTCGGCCCAGCCGAGAGCGGTAAACCAGTGGTCACGATCTCAGCAACAGCAACAACCCTCTCCAGCCGCTGTCTGCCCACGACCAGCAGCAGCAACAATATGCCGCCCCGAAGCCGCATGATCAGTCAGGATATCCGTCGGTGCCAGCGACGACGACGACGGCTGCAAATGGCATGTCAGCCCAGCCAGCACGACGGGAGGCGAAGCGTGCTAGGACAGTCGTCTTCGAGACAGTCGACGTCTCAGTCGCAGGTGAGTTATCGCAAAACTTCCCCTTTGTCCCGACAACAACGTGGTATTTGGCAGACCTCCGCATCAACGTCCCCGACGGCATATGCACCCTATCCGACCTACTCCCAGTCGTACCAGGGCCAGTACACTGCATACCAGCAGCAGCAGCAACAGCCCCAACACTATGTCCAACAGACTCAACAACCACCTCCGCACCCATACCCCTCTCCTGGACCCGGACCTCCTTCAGCCCAAGAACCCTGGGAGCATCAGCAGCAGCAGTTTCAACAACGGCAGCAGATCCAGGCCCAGCAGCGATATCCTGTTGCCAATGCTGCCTATTACTCGCAACCAGCACAATATGCACCGTCCCAGATGTCGGCACCACAAATTCCAGCACGACCAGCAGCAGCAGCAGCAGCAGCCGACGCCACAACATATCGTGAGACAGCATTCGCAGCAGCAGCAACCCCGTGTCCAGTCTGCCGCTCAGCTGCAGACTATCCATCCCTGCCCAGACGCAGCACACGGCGTCTTCGCATTCGCCGGTCCAGCCTTCCCCACAACAACAGCATCCACCGCCGTCCCAACCACATCCGTCTCTCTCGCTGCATTTACAACGCTCACACTCACAGACCCTTCACCAACAAGCCCCAGCCCGTCCCATGCCTGCCCAACCCCCAGCTCAGCCCAAACCCCCAACCTCAGCCTCAGGCACCCCCGCCTCCTCAGGCCCAGGCCCCGCCTCCTCAGCACGCACATCCCCACCAGCTGCTAAGGAATATCCCTCCCGCGGCTTCTACCTCACATCAGACCCATAATCGCCATCCACAGCAGCCACCCGCACAATCCGTCTTTCTATCTCGTACGACTCCGCTGGTACCCACGACTTTGGATCGTCAGGCGCAAACGCAGACACAACCGCAAACGCAGAACCCACCCCCGCCGCAACCCTCGCCGAGGGAACACCAACAGCTGCATAATAATTCGAGCAGTATATATGGTGGAGTCGGCGTCGGTATCACCCCGCAGCAAACCCAAAAAAACCAGCCACGACCACAGCCTCCGCCGCCGCAACGAGCACCCCCTCAGCAACGACAACCCTCGCAGGAACAACACCAGGCATACCAGCATCCTCCCCCGCCCGCCCCCTCAACAACAACAACAACATCCCGCGCATTCCCAACAGCAGCAGCAGCATTATCAGCACCAACAACCGACGCAGATACAGGTCGTCCAGCATGAGCCATCCCCGACCTCGATGCAGACCAGCTACGCCACACAGGCGCAGCCGCAACCACAGAGCTATTCGAGGACCGAGCCGTCGTCGAGTTATGCCAGGAGCGAGCCTACGTCGGCGTATCGGAGCGAGCCTCCACAAGCGCAAGCGCAAAGCGGGTACACGACTCCGAGAGAGGTGACGTGATGAACGGTGTTCGTGTCCTCGTTCTTGACTTTTCTGTCTGTATTGACCTGCATGTAAAGATCCTGGAACATTGCCGCATGTTGTACGCGTTTGCCAGCCGATATGGTGCGTCATACTTAGTATATCCCTTCTAAAATATTAAATCCACAAACCAGCCCAAATGCAACAGTCGGTGCAACACATTCAGCTGGAGCCAGGCGAAATTGCGGAGATGGCGCACCGGGCAAATGAGGTGGTGAGGCTATTGGGTGAGTTGAAGCGGATGGATCATTTAGCGTTGAAAGCCAAGGAAGGCTTTGGAGACAAGGTGGGGGAACAAGCAGCAGCAGCAGCAACACGCTCTGCCGCAGCCGCCACGACGCGCGACGCCAATACCGATGGAGGTCGATCAACCTCAGTCTGGGGCAGGGGCGGACTCGAGCGGTGTGCGGGCCCCGAAACGGCCTTGGGAGGTTATGGAAATGGACGGCGAGGAAGTCGATGAGTTGGAGGTGCGTTTTTCTTTCCTCTTCTTTCCGCTACAGTTATTAATCCTTTGAAAAATAGGACAGCGAAGAGGCGCCGTACCCAACACCGCCCCCTCCAGCGACCTCGACCGTAACCGCCGCACCCGCGACGACGGCGGAGCAGGATATGGAGCTCATTCGCACGAAGCGGGCGGCGACGAGTGCGGGTGGTGTCAATGGCGCGTTGACAAAGACAAAGTATCGGAAGCGGAGTGTGAGTTTTTTTTTCATCGTTTGCTTCTGCTTTCTTTTTTTTTTTGATAAAAA